AGTTATCAAAATAAAATTAATTTAAAAGCTCTAGAAGACAGCTAAATTGTGTGTGTGTGTGCGTGTGTGTGTGTGCGTGTGTGTGTGTGTGTGTGTGTGTGTGTGATTTTTGTTCTCAAGACCTCAGCAATGGAAGCAATTAAAAGAAAGCCTGTCTTTTCAGTCTCAGCTGTAAGACCATCAGTAGTTCCATGGGTGAATGATAGGATATATTTTTAAGCACGCTTTTTTTATTTGATTTTAAATCTGTGGTTTGCTTATCTGAAAGAATGAGGAGTAATTTTTTTATTGGTTATGAATATTCATGAGATACAAAGCTGATTGTCACCCCTTGTTCCTGTGATGTGAGCGCCAGATTCACATTGGCTCTATACCCATAACCACAAATTGCATTTGTACCCCGTGTCTCCCACCCAATTATCTGCAACCTCCCTCCCCATCCTCCCCACTCCACTTTGTAGCCCATAGAATGTTCTCTCCCTCTGCAAGTCTAGTGCACTACTGTAGTCTTTCTTTCCTTCCTTCTTTCTCTCTTAGCTCCCACATATGAGTGAGCACATGCCCTATTTATCCCTCTGAGCTTTGCTTATTTCACTTAACATAAGTTTCTCCAGGCTCATCCATGTTGTTGCAAATGGGAATATTTCATTCTTTTTTATGGCAGAGTAGTATTCCACGGTGTATATATACCACAGTTTCCTTATCCAGTCATTCATTGATGGACATTTAGGTTGGTTCCTTGTCTTGACTATTGTAAACAGAGCTGTGATAAACATGGGAGTGCAGGTGTCCCTTAAACATGATGATTTCCATTCCTCTGGAATATACCCAGAAGTGGTATTGCTGGATCATACGGAAGATCTATCTATAGTTGTCTGAGAAATGAGGAGTAATTTTTTAAAAAGGCAAAGAGAAGTATGTATTTACTTTTTTCAGGTTAGAGAACTATCTTGTGTAAACTTTTGTAATTTCGTGAAAAAACTTTTCTGGATGCAGCTTCCACATATAAATATTCATTATAATATTCTTTCTCTGTTTTTATCTTTTAGATGTCATTTTCTTCGAATAAAGAAAGTAACAAAGAAGGTATGGTATATTTTGGTTCTTTAGGAATGAGGTGTATAAATTTGTTTACAGTAGTGGAAACCAAAAAAAAAAAAGATCAATTTAAAAGTTACATAAACTAAGTAAAATATTTTTTTAATAGTCATTAAATTTTTAAGGTAAAATATCTTATTTCCTAACTTTAGAAAATGAGGAGGAGCACAGTTATTACTTTTAGGCTAGAGAGGTTTGACTTTGCAGTGATTTTTTGGTGAAGTACTGAGAGATTCCAGTTTGTTCTGGTAAACTTTAAAAGATTCCAAATATTTGAATCTGGAAGATTTTCTTTATTATCTCATAATTTTAATGAATCACTCACTTTAACTGAAGACCNAAAAAAAAAAAAGATCAATTTAAAAGTTACATAAACTAAGTAAAATATTTTTTTAATAGTCATTAAATTTTTAAGATAAAATATCTTATTTCCTAACTTTAGAAAATGAGGAGGAGCACAGTTATTACTTTTAGGCTAGAGAGGTTTGACTTTGCAGTGATTTTTTGGTGAAGTACTGAGAGATTCCAGTTTGTTCTGGTAAACTTTAAAAGATTCCAAATATTTGAATCTGGAAGATTTTCTTTATTATCTCATAATTTTAATGAATCACTCACTTTAACTGAAGACCTTAAAATCAAAATTTATAGTTGGATTAAAAATACATGGATTAAAAACACAGGTATTTTTTATTACCATCATTTGAAACTGTTTTGAGAAACAAGTAAAAATATTGTGTGGTAAAATTTTCAAAATGAAACATATGCACAAATTGTTTGCCTTTAAAAATATTGCAAGGCTCTTGGCCTTTTAATATAAAATACTAGAAGAATATTCAACTTGTGTATTTGGAGGAAAAAAATGAGAACTATTTACTGTGAGTCAAGATGTTTAGAAAGGAGTAAATCCATAGACATGATTTCATGGGAAAGCAAGCTATGTTCCTTATATAGTAAGCTAACAGATTGTTTCCTTGCAATACAGTCCCATTTTAGGTACTTATTGAGCAGTCAAATATTACAGTACAAAGTTTTTCTAGATCTTTCATGCTGTAGCTGGGGTGCTGACTTTTATATTGTTCAGTGGAAACGAAAAGGACCCAGAAAGATGTAGGAAATAAAGTGGGAATACTCTAGGATTTTTAATGTGGTTTTCTATAAGGCTTGAGCAAAATGAGAGAACTTAGGTCAGGAGCTTAAGGGAGAAATAGCTTTAAATAGAGAAATGTGATGTGCTATTTTATGATTGTTTTTATCTGCCTAAATACTTCCTAAAGGTCTAAATTAAATTTGTTTTATCCTTCCCTTCCTCCCTCCCTCTTCCTCTTCACCACTTCCCTAATACCCTTCTTCCTTCATTTTAAACACAGACCAAGTGTGGCACTTCCTTGGCAAATGATAGAACATTTGAAGTTCTGCCATCCAGATTCCAATGTCTAAGGACTCCAAGACTCATTTTCCCCTAAGTGGTAGAGGCAAGCGGGTCTATGAACATTTGCTGGCTTCCTTTTGAAACTTTATTTTTTTCAAACTTTTTGAGATATGCAATATGTAAATAAACATTGAAATTTTTGAATTAGTCTCCTTTGGATATTTATTGATATAAAAAGAGAAGATTTGCTTTAATTTCATAGTGGAAATTAAGCATTGATTTTGGATCAGTTATCATTTTTATACCTGAAAGAACCCAAAAATTTTATTAGTTTTTATTTATATAGGTTAAATGTAAAAATCACAAATTTAGTAAGTTAATAAAATTTTTATAGATGTTATTGTTCTTATTTTCATACCGTATTATCCCTTTTCAAGTCCATTGCTGGTGGAGGTTTTATTTAGCCAACCTCTGTTCTCTATTATTAGTGCCTATGTAAATGTGTTTATATTTAGTAAGGCTCTTTCCTATCATGTTTGTTTGTTTTGGAGGTCCTAAACTTTTTTTGGTATCATCCAGTTCTCTTAATTTCTGTTCTCATCTTTTTGGTGATGACTCCCAAATCTACCTAAGAAACCCAGGCTTCTCTCCTGGGCTCTGCCTATTGGACATTTTTAAATGCCTTTGACCTCTCTTGTCCAAAATTGAACTCATCTTCCCTTGCATATATGCTCCTCTTCCCTTTTTCTTGAACAGTGGAATTAACATTTTCCTCATTCCCACTTGAAGCCTTGAAATTATATTGAACCTCTCTTTATGCAAGAAGATCTTCTAAATGTTTTTCTTTATTGTCCTCATTCCTTTACATCTATACTCTGCTGTTTGGGTTTTTTTTCCCCTTTTTTCACTGGCCTCTTGTAACAGCCTCCTGTCTCTTCTCCATGCCTCTCAGATCCAGCCCCTCCACCTCATCCCCATTGCTCTAGCTCAATTTCATATTCTCTTGGCTCCTAACCAAGTAGTTGTCCTACCTGCAACTTTTCATCCTCCACATTTCCAAACAGTGATTTTCCTAAAGCATGGGTCTTGCCTTGTTATATTTTTCTCAAAATGCCTTCAATGGGGCCGGCCCGGTGGCGCACTGCTACAGTGTGCCGCTTGGGAGCGTGGCGGTGCTCCCGCCAAGGGTTCGGATCCCACATACAGACCGGTTCCCGCTCACTGGCTGAGCGAGGTGCGGGTGCAACACCGAGGGTTGCGATCCCGTTGCTGGTCCCGGTCCGGTACGGGCGCGACACTGAGGGTTGCGATCCGTTGCCGGACACGAAAAAAGACAAAAAGGGGAAAAAAAAAAAATGCCTTCAATGGCTTCCCATATTCTTGAAAATAAAAATCAGACTCTCTTATTCCTCTGGAGACCCACCCTCTAGCCATGCCATGCTGCTCACTCCTCTGCAGGTACATCTTACATCTTCATACTCCAAGTTCTGTGCCTTTCTTATCTGGCCAATTCTGTTCGTGACTTTTTTTCCGTTTTTTTTTTTCC